CATGGGGGGTGTATATCCAGCTTAATGAGTAAAAAAAAGAAAAGGGGCGTAGTTAACAATTGGGCTCGGCCCAATGTGAAGTTTTTGAGGTCCGCTTTGTTCGTGTGTGAGGGAATCTATGGTAATATGATGGGCTAGCGCAAGGGAAGATTGCTTGATCGTGATCAGAGGGGTGTGATCGAGGGTACATGGTAAGGGTGTATGGTAAAAGGCATGGAGGCGTAGAGGATTACGTGGCCAGATATTGGCCACGTGTCCTCGTCATTCAGTAGACGGAGGGAGAGTATATCTCTCATTTTTATTTCTTTCTTGTTTATTTCCTTATTTCTGTTTCTCTCACTCTCTTTATTTTTCTCTCTTCTCCCTTATATAGAACAACAACAACACCAACCACCTCTGAAACCCTAGATCGACGGCCGACTCCCCGAAACCTTATTCCATCAAAAGCTCAAAACAAAAAAACGATTCAAAATGCAGAAAAACCTAAGTGTTGTGATGATTATCTCTGATGCCTTAAATCTTCGTATTTTTGTTCGATCTTCCTCTAATTCTCAATCTCTTCATCTTTTTTGCAGGTACTTTAAGGATGATGATGGAAACGGCAGCGGATTTGAAGACCTTGAAGGCGACGGCGGCGACACCACAGATCTAGGGTTTCAGAAATTGAAACCCATATCTCAACAAAGTGGCTTCTTATACTCTTTCTACTTCTCAATTTTCCTCCTTCGTTCCTCAATTTCCCCTCCTCCTGTTCTTATAACCTCTAGGGTTTTTATAGCGTTTAGATTAGGGTAATTTAGGAAACTTTTATGTGATTTTACGTTACGAGTTTGTAGTGAATAGGGGATTAGGGATTTTATCACAAATTAGGTTAGACATGATTTGTATCTTGATTTGATTCCGTAAATTTAAGATATGATTTGTATAGTATTGTAAGATTTGACTTGGCTTCTATAAAGATTTGATTTGTAATTATTTGATTCATTTGAGTATTGATTCGTACTGATTTGATTTTTTGAGTTTCGTACACGTTTCTGTGCCTTGTGTATCACTAGAATGAAGATTAAGGAACATGGCGCTGCGACTGAATCTAGGGTTTCAAACCCCTTTGCTCTTGGTTGACTTGGTCAACGCGTTTAACAAAATAAAATAATATAATTATTTTAATAATATCAATATTTAAATAATGATAATAATTATATTTAATGTAATAATAATGATAAATAATTTGAATGAATGTTGACCTTAGTCAACAAAACTTAACATGATGGGCTTTCAACAATAAACTGATATGAGCCTGCAAAATCTCTTTAATGGGCCGGATGAATTTCACCCTTTGCACATACCAAAAAATGTAACGGGCCTTTGTAAAATCTCACCCATCTGATTCTTAATTGGGCCACAAACTGAGATGGGCCACTCTAATAATGGAACAAAAATAAAACCCCCTCCTGTTATTATTAAAATGAGTAAAAAAAACTATTGGGACCTCGGGTTTTGATGGTCCATATACCCCCCTTATCAACATCCAAACCCACGATTTATAAACGAAGCCAAAGTTTAATGGGCCATCAAATTTTGATGGTCCATGTTGCACCCTTCTCATGCTTTTAAACCTTTTAAACCATCGTCAGGACAAGACTTAAAAACAAGCAATTTTACACAATATGATTTATAATTTAGAAAATAATAATAATATGGCCATTGAATTTGATGGGGCGAATTTGGGGTATGATATACCAAAAAAATTAAAGCGAGCATATCGACATGATCTACGCGAAACGGTCAAAATCGAAATAAAATGAGAATAAAACTATCAGGTTGGACAAACGCTTACGATTAAGAACGAGAGTACAAACTGTACCAAAAAAATAAAGCGATCATACCGACATGATCTACGTAAAACATAGATTCATAAAGCAGTCAGTTATAGGTAAAAACTTGAAATATTTTCTCGCTATTTTTTCGCACAGTGTCGAATCGCTTTTAACGACCTGTCTGTAAAACCGAAATATAAATATTATGGACATATAAATAACTTGATGTAATGCAAGAAGTGGGTAAATAAATAAAAATGCATGAAGTGAAATAATAAGTATTTTTGCAACTATAAAACGATACAAATGTCAATTTAAGCTGACTTTTGGTCAACGTAAATACGACTAATGATGTAAAATGTGATAAATGAAGTTGTTTATTGAAGATTGTGACCAAATAACAAAATATGATATGATAATCCGACTAAACAATTTAGGGGCGAAATTTAGGGTGCAACAATTATTATAACTCTGAATAATATAAACTAAATTATTTAAATCTAAATAATTCTAATTATTATATATCTCTAACTAATACCCCACAACTTATCATCATACATCACAAAAATAATCAAAAATAACCAATTAAATAAATAAATCTAGACTTTGGGGTGTTACACATATAGACTACCAATTTTAGAAGAAACAAAACATCGACGGTATTCACACACCAATCGACTAAACAGGGAACATACATCATATAAAATCAGGTTGGACAGACCGACCTGATTTGCTACCACTAATGTAACACCCTTCTAAACCCCACGTAATTAACAAATAAATTAATTATAATTATACAACACAAGGGTGTCACACTTTATAAAATGACATACATATCCTGCTCCGTAATACGGATTACAACAAAATATTTAACTTTTCAAAATGTGTGCATTCATGATGTTTACATGATATCAAATACTCATTTGAAGACACTGCATCAGGTTCATCATAAATAAATTTAAATGTAGAACAACAATATACTTTGAGTTTTAAACTGCAACATTTCATAACATCGACAAAAGTGTTATCAACACTCAACTCAAAACATCTTAAAATATCTCAACAGTTTCATTAGCATTTCCTTCTAAAATAAACAACATAATAGCTCATGAAAATAAAACGCCAACCCCAACTCGATGTTACATGAATCAAAGCAGAATTCTACTACATAAGACGATAAATTATAAATAAACTCCAATGACTAACTTTCTCTTATGTCCACGGGACTTATTCTTGAGTATCTGCACATTATCCATATAGAGGAGACATTCATCATGAAAATACTTTAGAAAAAGGTTTAAGCACAATAAAAAATGGATACATATTGAAAAATAGCGTTTTGGGGCAAATTTGGGGTGCATGTGTCGATACATACATGTTACAGGTCGGCACATGTACTCTCATTTTAAAGTGTGTAACACTTGTTTGCACGTGCCGACACATATAGCCTTCATATGTCGGTACATGAGTCAATGTTTTCCAAAAATCACTTTTTCTAAAGTCTATGTGTCGATACATAGCTCATTAAGGTCTGCACATACTGTTGTTTTAGCATGGAATGATTTTTTACATATCGATTTACATGCCAAAAACTTGATCCACGAAATCATCCAAAAATAGATCAATTTTTTTTGCTATTTTAACATCTTAAAATCATCTATCATGCCATAGAATCTTAGACTAACATTACCTCATAAAAAATACACCAACAATCATCTCTAATCACCAATTCATTTAATTCATACCAAATCAAAACATGATTCATAAAACACATAAGCAACAAGAAATCTATAGCAGTAGCATTATCAATGATCTCAAAACACAACATATGTACACAATATTAAGATCAAGAATTTCATATTATTCATCAATATTCATTACAAATCATTACCAACCAAAGAGAGCTAAAATCTTACATCTATCCTTTCCTCATATCAATCATAATTGAGAATCATTACCCACTCTTATCTTAGATTTTCTCTAGGAATGAATGCTCTCTTGCCTTCTTCTTGCCCTACTTTATTTTCTCCCAACTTTCACGTATAATGTAGAATGATTCCTCTTTTCTTATTTTCCCCCTTTTCTATTGTGAATATTCCCTCTATTATGTTTTGCGTCATTTACCCTCAACTTAACATCACGCATTTACCTCAATACCCTTAAAATCTCTACGCATTCTAATTTATTTTATTTTCCTTATTATTGTGATTATTATAATTATTAACAACATAAAACTATTATTTAATTAATGATTATTTTCTATCTCATGAACTTACACTCCCACCAATATTCTAATAAACACAATAAATTACAAAATATTCATAAATAAATACATAAACAACGTAATTTCTAAATTGAAGTGTTACATACTCAATCCATTACAAACTAAAATCTTTAAACAAACAAGCCACCAGATATAAGTTCCAAGGATCAAAATTACAATCTCCCTTCCCTTTATAGTTTACTTCAACCCACTCCCAAGTAAGATTCTTAACAAAGTTAAACATTTTGTTTGCATCTTTACTATTCTTGTTGTAACAAATAACCCAACATTTGGCAATCCAAAAGGTACCTACTAAATTCTCATCAAACCTATTATGGATAAACAAGTGTAAATAATCACATACTGAATAGTTGTCGAAATAGAACCACATCATTAACACAAACAAGCAGCATATAATACAATACTTTAAATTTAAGTGGGTCTTTTCAAATTTGACATTCAGAAAATTAAAGTAAAATGATAAAATAACATTTTATGAAAAATATTCAAACCAATTTTTTATTTAAAACTTTGTTAAATTTTTTATACAAAAGATAATTCAATAATATAGTAGTGCAATTAAATTATATTTCCTGATGATAGACAACCTGACTGCAAGTCTAATCTCTGACTCTACATCTGCCTTTCCCTTTCAACTTTAATTTCTCCTATTTCCTTGCAGAGGGTAATTTCTTGACTTTCCATATACTTTTTTTCCTTTATTCTTTCACCTCAAATTTACTTAAAACAATTCATGGTTCTATTCACCCACATAATAATTTCCTCTCTCTCTCCACATACACATCAACATGCACACTATATTATATTTATTATATATTAATATCCAATTTTTTTTTATATATTTTTTTTATATATATATGATCACCAAATAGCCTTTAGAACATTAAACATTGATCACTATGACAGATCCTCAATCAAACTTTTTTGATGAATGGTTCAATTTCATGCTCCACCACACTAATCATCATCATCATCATCCCTACTCCTCTTCTTCTTCTCATCAACCCTCATCCTCCTCCTCCACCACAATTAATCCACCATCTTCTCCTCCTCTTAGAGAAGCTCTTCCTCTCATTAACAAGTTAAGCCTCATAAATGATCAACAAAATGAACCCTCAAACTCAAACTCAAACTCAAACATCATTAATCCCACCATAGTACAAAATGAATATAATCATCATCATGATCATGTTGATGATGATGAAAGTGTTACTGTTGCCCTACAAATAGGGCTTCCTAGAATGAATACTAACTCTTCTGATCTTGGATCAAAGATGTGCTCATCAAATAGTATAGAAATGGCTGAAAAATATGAAGTTAATATGATTTCTGAAAACCCTTTGGAAAAATTGAACAAGGGTCAGTATTGGATTCCTACTCCTTCTCAAATTCTCATTGGTCCTACACAATTCTCATGTCCTGTCTGCTCTAAAACTTTCAACAGATACAACAACCTTCAGGTACTATATTATTACTATTACAATTTTTACCATATCTTGTTTTCATTCCATTATTGTTTCCAAAGTAATTTTACTTTTAAATAAACCAACCTATGACTCCTAGCTTCTAGTTAAACCTCACTTGAGAGAAGTTCCACCGTCGAAACATAGATTTATTCTATGTTTAAATTGACGGTGGATTTGAAAAAATCATATTCATATCATATTTTATTGAAGATCTGTAGTATAAAATGACCTAATTTAAAAGGAATTTCACCGTCGAAACAAACATAAATTATTTTATGTTTAAATTCAGTGAGTTTGACAAAACTACGATAACACCGAAGTACTTGAATCATGAAAACTAATTTAGCTTTTGATTTTGTTCCAATACTTCTATATTACCTTCTTCTCTTTTAAAAATTTTCTCTTAATTAATAATTTCATTCTAATTTTTTTGCATTAAAAATAAGATAGTTTTTTCTTCCTATATTATCATGAATCATTATGGTTTTTCTGTCTATATCCCTTTTGCATGGTCTTGTTTTGTAGTTTTTCTTCCTAGTTACTATTTTGATTTCAGACTCAGCAGTACACTTTAATTAATTTCTGATTTTATATAAACTATTCTTTCATCATGTCACCTAGAACATTGTGCTGCACCAGTACTTCAAATCAATGAAATGAAAATAAATTATTAATACTAACAAACAATGTTTCTTTCATTATTCACATGTTTCTCATCAGAAGCACTGAATAAATAGTACTAGTAGATAATATTTTACTGATACATATGTTTGTGATAGAATTATAAATTAATCTAAGTATAATTAATAAAAAAAACTTGTTTCATATTGAAACCAACACTTCCTGAATTTTCAAACTTTTCATTTTTTTATATGTTCAGTAAAACTTAAATGCTCATCTTAATTTCTCTTTCTCCAATACTTTAGTTTTTTGTACAGTTTCTAAATTTGTCCTTTATTATTTGCATATCATGAAATCATTGAATGAAAATTTTGTCCATTATTGAATATACTATTTAATAATAGAGAATCATAAGTATGAAGGTAAAACATAATTTGCACACACAAAATGGTTCTAGAGTAAATATAGGATATATGTAGTCACTACTTTTGATTCTGCTATTCAATCACTACAAAGAAAAAATAAACTACTACTACACAAGATTTTTAAAAACGTTATGCAAAAACGGTTGCGACAAACCGATACTGATATTGTTATTTACCGTTTTTATGACAGAAAAAAAATTATGGTTAATTCATACTGTGATAATCATAATCAATATCACAACATTTATATCTACTGAAATCACATAAGTTTTTAGGTTTTTCATCACAAGTTTTTTCATTAATTTATACTTTTAGTAGTTAATTAAGGGGCATGTTTTATGGATTTTCAGATGCATATGTGGGGACATGGATCTCAATACAGAAAAGGACCAGATTCTCTAAAAGGAACACAACCAACAGCAATGTTAAGGCTTCCATGCTACTGTTGTGCACCAGGTTGCAAGCACAACATTGATCACCCTAGAGCAAAGCCTCTCAAAGATTTTAGAACACTTCAAACACACTATAAGAGAAAGCATGGTATAAAACCTTACATGTGTAGAAAATGTGGGAAATCATTTGCAGTGAAAGGTGATTGGAGAACACATGAGAAGAATTGTGGCAAAATTTGGTATTGTTTATGTGGTTCGGATTTCAAACATAAAAGGTCGCTTAAAGATCATATTAAAGCCTTTGGTTATGGTCATGGTGCTTTTGGTATTGATTGCTTGCAAGAAGAAGATGAAGTTGGTTCAGAAATTGAACATGATGGTGGAAGTTCAATGTGAAAAAAAAATGGAAAAAATAAAAATTGAGGTGAATAATTCTTTACCTTAATTTCATATACGAAACACCGATACTAATTGAAAAAAAATAATGTAACTATGTGTCGTGTCAGATATTAAATATATTTTGAAAAAAATAATGTAAGCATATGTATCGTGTTGGACATAGACATGTCAGACACGGTTTTATATTAGATATAATTGCAAGTGTTATATAAGATATGTAATAGTTGAGTTGTTTATATAATTTAAGTTTCTTTGTGATTTTGTTGTGTTTTTCTGGTTTATAATTTATTTCTAATTATGATCTTAATTTTTTTTTTGGGTTAAAGTTTAAATTTATAGTATGCATGTGTTGGAATCTGTTTTGTATTTAGGGTTTGTAGTCAAATTGCCTTCTTTCTTCCACTTAAAACTTATGATTAGACAGGGTCTCCATCTAGTCTTCCAAATTATATTGCTAGATCAAAGTCTATTTCATCCTCTAAAGCATGAATCCTCCATTTTCAACTCCTATTTGACCATTTTCCCATTTGACAGACAAACTCATCTTGATCCTTGCTCAGACTAAACAGTTCAGATATAAAACTTTCAGTTTTTGATTTCCACACCATAGTGCTTTCTAGAAAGGAATGCATGACCCTGATCCTAGTAACAATTTATACTCCGAGAAAAACCTCCACATTCATTTGAATCAGACCACTCTAGGTTCACCAAGTCCTGCCACCAAACAGACTTCTTGCTTCTGCCTTTTTTCTGACTCGGCTCAATATTTTATGCTTAAGATTATCATGCGAGAATGTGGTGTTAGAAAATAATCTTTTACGTCTTTCGTTCCTTCATAGAGAGTTTGGAAAGATTCCCACATACCTTTAGCACTCTTTTGATGAGAAATTGAGTAGAATACTTTTGTGCTTAAAGCGGATATAAATATGTTTATATATTTCAAATCATATGAAGCCCTTTTGGTTTCACCATTTGTCCAATCCTTTGGATGTTTTACAACACTACCATCACCTGTGGGAATAAAAGGTCCCTTGGTGACGGTACACCACATATATTTGTCAACTGATAGTAAGTGTGCATACATAATTGATTTTCAATAAGCATAATTTTCACCTTTGAAAATTGATACTCTATTGTACGCTCTCTTTGGATCGTTATCGTCCGCCATATTCTCAAAAAATTTGGAGTCAATTAGACTTAATCAAAAGACCATCTCTGCTTTCTAATTTTTGGTGAGAATATGGTGTTAGAAAATAGTCTAGAGGGGTGAATAGACATTTAAAAAACGAAATCAACCAATTCTTCAAATGAGAATAATTTGAGGTTCTTCAGAGTTTGGGGTAGAAGTTTATAGAGCGAAAATGTGAAATTATACCTCACTTGACAACTATTTGCGTAAAATCTCAAATCACTTTACAAATATCGCAATGTCTAGATGAAAAACCACAATGTATGCAACTGAATTAATTTAATAAGTAAGGAGGTGCAGTTAAGCAATTAATCAACAAGCGGATTCTAAAAGCATAATGTTTCTCAGATTTTAATCACCACTGAAGCTCTTGTTAGGTCTCCAATTCCAACAAAACCTAAGTTTATAAAATAATTATGATCGAAATTAAATCTAAGCATGCATGTTTTACGAAATTTAAAATCAAGAGTAAGGGATAGAGAGATGGCATCATAATTTATTGTGGTTTGACTTTGTCACCCTTGTGTAAGTCTACGTCCACTTTAATAGTTTTTCCTTTTATTTTTACAAATATCTTGAGAGTATATACAATCACCAACCCGCAATAATTTTGAAGAAAAATAACAAATAGAATCTTCAATTTAGATCTTGACTTGTATATCGCCAAATGCCAAACTCTTCTACGCAATATTTACTAGATCAACACTTTGAATCTTCCAATATCACCAATTCTGCTCCAAGCATTCCTGTGTAGAAATCAACCCCTTGATCTTACTGATTCCATGAGTGGTGAATTATTTGAAGATGTAAAAATAACTTTGCCTTATCTGTAGCCTTCCACACAGTCACTACTAAGGCAATTCTGGAGAGAAGACCTTCTTCTTTTCACTAGAATTTGTCAGCACCAATGACAATTATCCCAATCTTGCAAGAACCTAAAAATCTTTGACCCAATCTTCAAGAATGATTAGTTTCAAGACGACGTCTCTGTTGTACCCCAAAATTTTCCCTCCCATATTTCTCAATACATCTCAAGTGAGGTCTTCAAATTGTTCAAGGAAGTCCAAGGGTTAACCAAACAAGCTCTCTCCTAAGGCAGTCTACCTCAAATTAGGGTTTCATGTTACATGAAGATACTTGAGTCCAAGGGATCCCAAATGCTCACCATTGTCCTAACATATTCTCAAGATCATCTATGTCAAGTTTCAAGCCTTGCAGAGGAAGTTTGCTCAGTCAATTGCTCAAAGACCTGAAAATCGGTTGTGCTAGGGCAAAAGTCAACTGTGGCCCACATACAGTCAAAATTCAAGTTTTTTTGTCCAAATTATCATTTTGAAGTATTATTCATCATTTGATCAAAGGTCGATCATGATTCATCAAGGATTGCTCACAATTCATCAAAACCAAAAAGTTGCTAAATTAGGGTTTTGCAAGAAAAGTTAACTCAACTTTGACCAAGCATAACTTTCTCATACTTTATGATAAATGACCCATCCAAAGCTTATTTTGAAGAGGATGCAATTATATACAATTCATATTCATCTCCCAAGTTCAAAATATGCACTGACAAAAAGTTATGAATTTGGACATTATAGGTCATTTTGAAAAGTCAACAAAAACACCCTTTTTTTTTCAAAGCTTCATACATGAACATGGAATACCAAATTGATATGAAACCAAAGAGTTTTCTTAGGGTACATCTCAATCTTTCTAAAAAAGTACAAGAACACCTTTAAAGAGTCAAAATTGAGGAAGTTATGCATTGGTGAAGTTGACCTTTTTTGCAAAATTGCCAAAAGTCAAAAATGCCTCAAATTGCAATTTTTGCTAAATGGGCCTAACTTTTTGCACTTGTTTTGAGTTGGTAGCATGGTCCACAAGCCCTAGCTCTTCCCATTTGTCATTATCTTATTTTTGCTATTTATTTTGATTTTTATTGCAATTAAATCAATTTAAATCAAAACAAATCATGAAAAAATCCAAATCATTCAAACTTCAAGATCTTGTGCATATTTCAGGTCCTATATCCAGCTAGCAAGTGAATCAATTCGTGCAAGGCATAGATGGGCACAAAAAGATTGATTTTGGCCTATTTTGGAAATATTTTCAAGTGAATCAAATCAAGATCACAAATCATAATTGGCAAGGATTGAGATCATATTTGTAAACCTAATTCATCCCTTGGTATATAGTGAACAGTTGCAGCCAGAAAACACAAGGTTTGGAGGCGTGAAAAGGCAGAACCAAACTTGGAAAAATCACTAAAAAGTGCTGACTTGATTTCATACTTCCAGGCGTTTACAAGGCTCCCTAACCATCTCATTCGCTTCCTGGGATTGCAAGGAAGCCATAGCAATCAGAAACAAGGATCCTCGCGCGCTAGAACTCACTGTAAGTGATCCACGACCATGGTTTTTTCTTGAAATCGAATTACATGATTTTGGCATTTATAGCATGAAATACTTACATATTCCTGTTCCTTGAAGCATTTGCAAGCTATCTATAACATTTAATTGCATTTTTGTGGACTATATCAGAATTCACCATTGCTAGGGTTCTCGGTCCCATTTTAGGTCTTTTTTATGCAGGCAAAATTGGCCCACAAGAAGGGCACCATAATGCTCAGCAGGCCAAGGTGATTCGATTCATGGCATTAGATTTTATTTATCATGCTTGTGTGTGATTTTGCATTGTGCAGGGTTTGTAGTGACGGACGTTTGTCCGTAGGTAAAGGTCACTAAACCTTTTACCAACTGACAGAGGACAGGGACGATGGCATGGCAGCCCCTGATTGCCTCGTTTGAATTTCCGCGCGAATATTTTTATTCTGTTTGTTTTTCTAATATAATGCTTATTGCTTCTTTTATGTACAACACGCGCATGTGGCTCAGTTGGTAACAAGGCAATTGGAAAAAGCTGCAAGACATGGGTTCGAATCCCAGATTCCCCCTTTGTTTCATATTATTTTGATTTACATGATCAGGCGCATGCACAAATATGAAGTCCACCATGTGACCTCAAGGTTCCTCCATTTGATTTCCAGATGACCAGATCTAAAGGCCATCATATGAAGGACCATCATACGCCTTGGTCAACATGCAACAGGGAATCTGGGAGGTCAACGTGGATCAGTTGGTTTGGGCCCAGAAAATTGCTAATGGCACTCCCCAAATGCTAACAAATAGGCCCTTTTTCTTTTTCTTTTCTTTCATATTTTCTTTTATTTAATTTACTCAAATTATTTTTACTAACACCAAAATTAATTCCCTTTTTATAAAATCACAAAATCAATATTTCACCAAATTAGATTTAGGTTTTTTATATAAAAAATTAATTAATTAGTTTATTATAACTTTAGGTAACTTTAATTTCTTTTGTAAATAAATTAAAAACAATTAGAAAATTAGGGTTTTAGTTTAATTTAATTCTTATTTTCTTTTTCTTAAAAATAACAAAATACAAAAATAGGTCATGTAAATTATTTTCTTTAATTTAATTTAATTAGTAATTAATTTTGTGCATATTTAATTCAAACCCTTATTTTCTTAAAATAATCAAAAACAACAAAAATATTTTTTTTCTTTTAATTAGGTTAGACGGGGTCAAAACCCTAACTTTTCTCGTTCTTAATTCATCACGCGCTTAATTATTTTTACCATATTGATGTAATTGCTCACAAGATGTAATAGATTAATTAGGACATTATTTTCCATTCATTTATCGTTTTTTTACGGGTTGTTTTTGGCTATGTAATTAATACCCGAAGCCTTGTAATAGCTTAGCTTTATTTTCCGCATTTTTAATTCCC